TTCAACACCTGGCGTCTGAACAGTGGGAGGTTCAACACCTGGCGTCTGAACAGCGGGAGGTCCAACACCTGGCGTCTGAACAGCGGGAGGTTCAACACCTGGCGTCTGAACAGTGGGAGGTACAACACCGGGCGTCTGAACAGCGGGAGGCCCTGATTTAGGGGGAGCAACCGGCGGGCTGCCGGGAGAAGTAGCGGACGCACCGGCAGGTTGCGTCAGGGACCCGGCGGTGGAAGGAGCTGGGCTTGACGTTTCTGTAATGGACCTAGTGACCGAAGTGCCGGACTGTACCGTGCTAGGCAGAGCCGAAGACGACCTCGGTAGAGAACCACAGCCACCTACGAGAGAAGGAACAGCATCAGGTCCCTTGCCGATGGGGACCAAGTTGGTTCCACAGTCGCCCGACTGGGCGATGTGCACGTTCTGGTTATCTTGGTCGAACACGACGAATGCTCCTCTGAGAAAAGAGGCGCCCAGAACTGGGAGATCCTCATCAATGGTGATGCCGAGATAGCACATGCCCAAGATATGCCACATGAAGTCTCTGTATGGAACATCGATCACGGTGTCACCGAAGCCAAAGTGAATGGACCCCGTCTTATTGGCCGTGGCACAATCCACCAGGTACAAACCAGAGCCACCGTCATTGACTGCACCTGGAAAGTCGGCGACGATGGCATTGACCAGGGTAGAGGGAAGACGAGTGAGAGTTCCACCGCTGTCCAGGAAGACTGGCTGGCCTCTGGGGTCGGTCGAAGGTAGGGTGTAGAGCTTCTTGGCCTCTCCCGGCTTGGTGATCCCGATTGAGTTCATGTAGACCCAGTAACGAGCGAACTTATCCGGCGCCTCTCCGGGCGGTATGATGGGCAGCTTCTGCAGGGCTCCAATGTACTTGCCCGTATCGATACCCCCAAAGATCACGGCCCCGGCTTCAGTGTCGTAGGCTCTCAAGTCGATACTGAAAGCACGGGAGTTGGTGATGTTTTGAATGGCTAGATTATCAACGAGAGTCGGATAGCCGGTCAACTCGATTCCTGGTCCAACGCCCAGCAATCCTACCGGAAGGTCATGGCTTGTCGTTGTGAGACCGAATTGTTGAGCCGTGATGGTGGACTCTGACGGATGGTTAGCTGATTGCTGGCTAGGAGAGGGAACATGGCCATCTTTACCTCCGATCACGAAGTCATCGGAAAAAAACCGGATGGTGCCGCCGCCTTTGCCGTAGGTGAAAGTCGTGGACAGCTTGAGATCGCGGGCCGTTGTCGAGGCGTTAGCGATGTAGTGTGGGAAGTATTCGCAGAGTTCCCGAGACGTGATACGTCCGGCCAGCGCGCAGGTCGGGTTGAGCATGGTTTCTGACGATCCGGTGTCCAGCTGCAGGGCGTGACTCTGCGGAGGGGATCCCAAGGTGACTGAGGAGGGGGTCGTGATTGTCAGCTTGTGGCACCCTCATATTTGTTTGTCTCTCTCCCTGTGTGCCTCTCTGTCTCTCTCTGTCTCTCTCTTCCATCTTCTTTCCTCTCCGGAGCTGGGGGGGTTTGGGTCACATACACTCGATCATGTAACGTGTGCCGGTCTGGATGTTGTAAAGTGCGGTATGCTCCTCTCGCTTGTGGGTGGACCTCACGGCGGTAACGGGCAGCCTCAAGATGCCATCGGAGCGACGAGAATTAGGGATCGCGGATCCATGAACTTGAGCGAGAATCGAAAAGGATACGGCGAGGGTGAAGGTGAGCAGCGTGGACACCATGGCTGCGATCCCACGAAGGAGGAGGTAAAATAAAGAAGATGAAGAAGATGAAGAAATGAAAAAAGAGAGGAGATTGGCCTGAAAAACGAGTGTGAAGGGGGAGGGGTCCACCGAGTGAGGGACGAAACGAGAGTTGAGATCACGATAATGAAAAAGACGACGGCGACGACCACGGTGACAACATATAGCGAATGTTGTTGTTGTTGCTGCTGCTGTTGTAGTTTTAGTTGTAGATGTAGTTGTTATGATGGTCGCTGTGTGATCCCGACAAACAGGGTGACGGCATGGACGGAGGGCGGCGCGGGAGGTGGTGAGGTGGTGGGGGTGATGAGGTGGTGAGGTGGTGAGGTGGTGAGGTAGAGAGAGAGATGTTGGGGGTTGAAAAAGAGTGTGAGCAGGGTGAAGCAGATTTCGGCGAGGCGCCGTTGTCATTAGATACATTCATCGTCTGCGGCTGAACGAGATGTGGAGAATGCCCAGAAGGGGGTGGAGCTTGCCCATTCGGGACGATTGGGGTGGGCGAGCGGAGGGCAGGGGGGCCAAGGGGGGCCAAGGGGGGCCAAGGGGGCCAAGGGGGGCCAGGGGGCCGTAAAAGGGGGAAAAGAGGGTCATGACCAGGACCAGGGCCCGGCCGAGCTGGTTTATTCCCGTACTCCTTGGCTCCCCTGGTCACTGATTGGCCCCAGGTGCCATTGTCTCCACCTTTCCAGGTCCCGCGGGGTGCCTGTTTTGGGCCCGTCATCCGTTCTCAGGAATCTCGTCTTATCTCGGCCACGACGGTCTACTATGGACCGTACCGGAGACGTGTCAAGAGATAGCGGGGCTCTGCAGGCAGATACACGATTGCCGAGGCCGTGGCTATGTAATGTGCGCATGGTCTGGACCCCTGAAACAACCTCCACCGGCTTTCTGAAACGGATCATCTCATTCCATAAATAGTGGTAGTAAGTAGTAGTAGTAGTCGTCGTAGTAGTAGTAGTAGTAGTAGTAAGTATACACAGTTGAGTCGTACTGTACGTGTCGGACGGTACGTAACGGGGAGATGAGCACCTTCTCTATTTCTATTTCTATTCCTATTCGTATTTCTATTTCTACTCGTAGTCCATTCCATTAGACCCCCCTCCAATTCCATTCCCTCCACTCCGGTCCACGATATGATATTGCAGTACAGTCTCACCTATTCTTGAAATACATCCGTCCATAGACCGTATGTCAAAGAAGGATCAAGACTCACTCCTCTTCTTCCTTCTTTGTCAGCAGACCATAAGCCTGCATAGCCAATCGAAGCCGGTCGATCGGCACCTGCAAAGTAGGACTACCCCTAATTAAATTTCTTGTTTTTGGGGGGAGGGGGGTGGTTGACAGCTGAGACAGGCCCATTCTGACTGCGCGACGCGCGCGCGCGATAACCCACCCCTATACCCGCGGCACTTTGATCCCATGATGGAGGTTGGAACCCGGTCAGGTGATGACTGTCTGACTGAACATAAGGGGAACGAGCCCTCTCCCCACGTGATGTGGCGAGCGAGTGCCTTTGCTTCCCCTAGGTCGTATTCCAGTCCGTCTCCAGCCCGAGAGATGATGGTGATTATCGTGCGTTCCGTACGGAAAAGATAGGCACTAATCGCCGAGGCCGCCTGCCTGTTTGGTTCAAGTGTCCGATTTTTTTCCCAAGTGTCTGATGGCCTGAGGCACTCGAGGTACTTCAAGTAAAGGCCTCGGCTATCAAAGTGAGCGTGAAACGGCGCTATTTCTGATGGCCAAGGGCTCAAGCACCGGCATGTCAGGTCTGCGAGATCCCATGGAGGCAAGTAGGATGTCGTCAGTACTAACCTAATAGACCGTCCGTCCCGTGAAAAGAAACCGTTTATGGTCGTCCCATAGCCGTCGCCGTCGCCGTCGCCGTTGACGTCCCCAGATTTTCAAAACACGCTTATCAAAAAGCTCGTTCTAAATTTTTACTTATGGTCTCCGTAATGATCACCTAAACTTAGAGATGAGTCAAATTTAGAACCCCTTCGCTTTCTATTTTAATAATAACGCTTTAACTATAATTCGGTACTTTAAATTGATTCGAACATAGTTTGGTTTCGCAATCTTCAATATTCGTGCTAAGATTGTTTTTGCTATCGCAGGCAGGTGACGGGGAGTGGGAGAGGAGGGGGGATGGTGGGAGAGCAAAAGAATCCATCATATTCTCCTCGAATGCTTACTAGTACAAGTTCTCGAAGACGGTTTTCAGTCAGTTCGGGACCGGGCCCTAGGATGGTCCCAGAACGATCCCAAGATGGCTCGGGGACGGTCCCAGGCCGGTCGATTTTTCCATTGAAAAAAAGGACAAGCTCTCCTCGACGACGATTTTAATCGATGAAACACGATATGACTTCACTCATAATCTTTTCACGAAAAAAAAAACCGGAATCTTTCAAGCGCCGATTTCAATCCATGAAAGCCATTCCATTTCAGCCATACTTTGAGTTTTTTCAAAACGATCTCCCAATCACAAGCTTTGATTCCCAATCCAGCTACATACAGACCTATGGTGATCCATCCATCTACCAGCCAGCCAGACCAACCAAGCTCTCCTCTAGAGACCGTCCCTGAAAGAGATCGTCATAGGATGTCCAACCAGCTGAGCGACTGTCCGAATGCATTCGCATCCCCCTTTTTCCATTTAAGGTGGTATGACATTTGAATCGTAGGCGCTTTGACGCATTAGAGCTTTTAGAAATGGACCCCGTTCCGTTTCTAAAACATTGAAATATTTAGTATACCTACCTCAATTATAGTAGTGTCATGCCTCCCCTTACTCATCGACCCAGAGTGAGGTACTTGCAAGAGAAGCCAACAGCTGGTAAGGGAGTACGCAAGCAGAGCAAGCACGGAATGGGTAGATAAAAGAGAAAACGTTTTTTTTTTCTATCGTTAATTTAGACCTTGATTTTGGGATTGGATTTGGATGCCGATTTTTCTACTTGGCGCTTTCGTGCCTAACTTGATGATACGACTAAGCATTTTCATCGTTGGTATACCGGTAGGTGGGTACATACTGCACATGCATGCATCAACATACTACGTACGTAGTACTACGTACCACGGTACAGGCCTAAGTATTACCCCTCGAGGGTGCCTTAAAAGTTTAGTTTCCACTTTAAACCCCCTGTTTTCCCTACCCTCGAGGGGTAATACTTACGCCTGCGACG